TTTGGACTTTAAGTGTTTAGGGAATGTGGGATCTAGCAGGTTTCAGACTTTAGGGTGCAGGGTTTGGGGCTCGTTTCGGGCTTCTCCGAATTGAATCCCTTTCTCTGCACACGTTCCATCTGCTTTTGCTTTCAGATGCGTATTTTCATTTGGGGACTCAGAAAACTCAGTAAATCCTTTCGAGGCTCAGGGGTCTTTTTAGCCCAGCTGCGAGCTTGGAGTCTTGGGTCTTGATCAAAAGCTGACCAGCGAGGGCATGCCCAATACCGAAAGGCTGAATAAAGCACCAGGGGGCACTTTCTTGCGACACCAAGGTGACCTCCAGGATGCCATCAGGTGCGGCTAGGGGTTTATGGTCGGTTTCGGGTTTTGCGCCTCAGGCTAAACCCTAAACCCTAAACCAGTCATGTTCATGCATTCATGCAGTCCTATAACCCCCACAACCTCGTCGGCATCCGAAGTTTCAAAACCCAAGCCCAAGACCTGAGGAGCTGCAGCAGCTTCAACTCCGCTTGGCTGCGCTCCAGCGTGCGAAGGAGGCTGGTGCAGGGCCTTAAGCGGAGTTTAAGGTACATGATCATAATTTTAGAAGCCGGCGGTTCTTAAACGCGCTAACCCTCCACCATGAGAAAGACTAAAGCCCCAAGGCGAGTTTTTGTGCACTATTCAACAACCCTTCCAAAGGCTTCATACATGAAGCCCTTCATTTTCCAAAATTTCGGAGTTCTGCTCCCAGGCCTCAGAGCGCTACGTCTTGGAGGAGGCTCCGGGGCCATGCCTGCCTACTCTTATCGCTTCAGCTCTTTAATCTCTGAGCCGCTGCCCCGAGAAGCTTCACTGACTTCGGGTTCAGAACAACAGATCGGAGCTACACCGGGGATGAGATAGGGGGTTTGTCAGGGTCTAGTTAGTTAAGGATTTGGAGGGTTTTCTGAGAGATAGGGCTGAGGGTTGCACCGGCCCTTTGTCCAGGCAAGTCCCGCTCTTTTGGTGGCTCGTTCGTTGATGGCTTGTTTCCGGCCTGGGGTCGTGCTCTGGTGACTTGCGTTTGGTTGGCTGCGACATTGTCGCTTCCGAGGCCAACCTTGAGCCCTCAGAGCTTGGTCAGGCTCGACAAGCTCAATGTCGCAGCGCGCCTGCTGGCATTCGCTTGCTTCCTGATTCGTGGCAATACCGTTGAATTCTCCTGCAGGTCAGCATCACCCAAGTTGATTGGAGGGCATGGAACACATCCTGGCTACTGGTCCAAAGGGTCTTTGCGCTCTCTTCGCACCGTTGTGGTGACAGGAAGAAGGAGCACTAGCTTGCTTCCACGGGCGTGGCTGTTCCCGTCCTTGCCTCCCCTGGCATTGGCCCTGCCTTCGCTTTTCCGTATCGGACTTTGTGTATCCTGGCACGGATTGTTGCCGTTCCTCGTGTTCGGCATCTGGTGCGTAGCCTGCTCCAACGCCATCCCTTCATTAGTGGTCCAGTGGCACGGCTGAAGTGCATTCTGCAGGACTTCCCACGCTTTTTTGCTGCTTTAGTCGGGTTGGTCTTGGTTGGCATCATGACCTTCGTGAAGCCTGGCACTAGCGTGAGGACCTTCGTGCTAACATTAAGGGGTTCTTCGCCGCCTCCTTTCGGGTGGGCTTCAGTGAGACTCGTGACCGCGCGATTCTCGGCATCGCAGCCCGGGGCGCACTCGTTGAATCGGCTCGATTCAGCTTTCATGGGAGTGTCCGCTGCTAGCTGCTAGCTGAGGCCGGGCAAATTTGGTTCTCTCCGCGGAGGCTTGCCGCAGCCCCAGCCGCCTTGCTTCACTTACGCTGGCCTTGCTCCAGTCGGGTGGCCTGCTGACGCTTCTCTCGTGGCTGACATACTCCGCCATCTGGTGGTGCTTGGCAAAATTTAGCAAGCTTACATCGGTCGCTGGCATGAAGGTGCTCGGCATCGCTTCACCTTTAAGCTAGCCCCTCCCGCTTGGCACCATGCGCCTCCGCGGAAGATGAATTGCAATGGCCATGCGCTTGCTTGCTTGCTTGCTTGCTTGCTTGCTTGCTTGCTTGCTCTCCCACGAGGGCGCCTTTTGTGGTGTGGTCGAACTCAAAGGCATTGAAAGCAGGACTAGTCGGGTTCACTGTTCCCAAGGAATTTTATCTCGGTTTAAAATGTGAGCATAATCTGACCGAGCTCCCGAAGAAAGCTGCTCCTGTAACAAGCAGTCACACTCTGATTCAACACTGTCATGCGCAATAACACAAAACTTGCAAGTGCTCTCGCGAATTTGCACTATTGCTGCGGTGAATCATGGAGGGCACACCTTGTTGTGGAATGCCTGTCTAGGTAAGCTTGCAGAAGGTTTTATTTATTGCGCTATTTGTTGTAAGACTTGGCGCTGGGCTGAGCATCACAACAAGTTGGCTAGCTGGCAATTCTGATGTTTGCCGTAAACATGACCACACCGCTGTAATGCTGGCGCAGCTTGGCGCCGCGCAGCTTTTTTCCCACGAAGTTGTGTGTTGCCGCGCTCACGATGGCTGCCCGTTGTGGCACGAAGGTGGAAACTTTGCAAGCAAGTCCCTGCTCCTGCTTCACTGGTGTTCGTTGACAGTCCTGCTTGGACTCGTGTAGAGTGGAGGATTAACTCCAGCTGCTTCCAATCCCTTGCTCCTTTGGTCCTCTTGGTCATCTTGCTCGTTGTCCTGGTCATCTTGGTCGTCTTGGCCGGGCAAAGTGACCGGGTCATTTTGCAGTCTTGGTCACCTTGCCCCGCTTCCCCGGCTTGCCCGACTAGTTTACCCTTCACACCAATATGACCACGATGACGGGTCAGGTTGCACCATCCCCAAGTGGCGCAAGATGATGAAGATGACTGGTCAGGTTGCACCCCGTAGTGGTTCCTTTGACAATCTCGATACCAATAATCTTGATAATATTGACAATATTGACAACACTGATAATATTAATACTGATACTGACAATATTGATAGCAGCACTAAGAATCATATTAATAACAAGAATACTACCTTATCACTGCTAATATTATGATTATTACGAGTACCGTTAGTAATACTTCATCATATGCTGGTCAGGAGGACACCTGGATCAGGTCCCAGGAGGCCGCGCGCAGGGCCGAGGCGCAGGTCGGCAGCGTCCGGAGTGCTTCAGTCAGGAGATCTTTTTGTTGTGTTTTTCTTCTGTGTAATGACTGGGTTGTCAATGATCTGGGTTGTATTACAGGTGGGGTTGACATTTTGTTGATGAACAGAGCGCGCCAGGGGTTTTTTGAAACTTTTGCCATTCATGCGAGAGGCTGAATCGGCCCGCAGTAGGGTCCTCAAAACACGTACGGGGCGTTTTCCGCATTGAAGACTTTTTGGTTTCCCCCAGCCATGCAAGCCTAAATCGTCCCAAGCCCCCCACGTCCATAACCCTAAACACTTTGTTTCGCCGGCCCTACCGTCTGAAACCCTAAACACCCGAAGCCCTCAACGGGCCTTGGGGTTTCCAGAGCCCTTTCTGACTCCGGTGGCAGGCCTCAGATGCGGCCTCGGCCGTGGCGCGAGCAGAGGCCGAGGTCGCCCTATGAATTTCAGGGGTTTAAGGTTTCATCACGTAGAATGAAGTTTCATCGGGCTGATAACCGGGATTGTAAGAGGTTTTGCATCAAGTTGGGGTTTAGGGTGAGTCGTGTCAGGTTGATGGGGGTTTGTGAGTTCGGAGCCACAATAAGTAGAAAACCTCGAAACCTTCCCTTCGGGCTCCTATCTTCAAGCCGCAGAGTAGACCTAAAAAGTTAAGGATGATGTGCCTTGAGAGTCCCTATGCGCGCCACCAGTCAACCTGCAAGCTTTACATCTCAAGACTGTGTCCCACAACCCGTTTGAGTTGTTTCGGCTGTTAGGTAGAACTGCTTGATCTGCTTAGTGTAGCAGCCTCAACAGCAAAGTACGGAAACCCAATGGACTCAGAGGCATTGTAAAACTCTAAAGAGTTCGTCATTCAAGCCCTCATCAGGTTCAAAATCAAAGAGGGCCTTGTTGAAAGCCTTACAACAGGCCCCGACCGGACCTCGAGCCGTCAACCCTGGAGGCTGCTGCGGCAACGCAGGACGCCGTCAGGGCGTTGGCGGCGCAGCAAGCAGCCGAGGCCACCTTCACCGTTTTTCTTCCAGGTTTTACGGTGATAAAGTCCGTGTTGGAGCGTGTCGGGGGGCAGAGGCCTCTGATCAAGAAACAAGCCGCCGCCAACTTGGAAGTCCCAGCTCCTGGTGTCGCGTCGTCCGCATTCGCCCAAGCCCTGGAGAGCCTACCCACCAATCACCAACTAAACCCACACCAAGCCCCCAAGAAGCAAGAGGCTGGTAGGCGGCGGCTGGAGGCGCGGCGCCGTTCGGGCTGGTGGTGTTGAGGACAAGGCTTTGGGATTTATAGTTTGGACTTTAATAAGAGACTTCGAAGGATGTGTTGTGTTAAAGGGTTTGTTATGCAGAGTTCAGGGTAGGTGCTGTACGCTTCTGCGGAGCCAAGGACCATGATTTAGAGAACCCCTGCCCCAGTGTAGAAGCGCGTGGAGATTTTGAAGAGAGGCATTGCAACATGCAACGAGAGCTCTGCCCTGAGCCCGAGGCCGAGCTTGCGGACCTTCGCGAGCGAGCACGCTGTGATGAGCCTGCTCGTGCCCGAGCATTGGCTGGGCGACCAAACTCTCGCACCCGATTGCTCCTGCAGCCAAAGTGGAGGGCCCAAGGAAGCGAAGAAGCTTCAAAAGATGAGATGGAACACTTTGAGCCTCCCCTCCAGCCATGAACCTTAAAGACTCTAAGCCCGAATCCTTCAAACTCTACTCCCAGTAGGACAAAAAGGGCTCTAACCCGAAAGCCTGATGCAGCCCTAAACATGAAACTCATTGTCAATGTGATACTTACACTCTCAAGGGTCAAGCAAACTTTCGAGGAAACTCCTTCGACCGTACGACCAAAACCCCCGTCGAAACTTGCAGCCGTTCCGACGCGAGCCATGGCACCATCTGGAGGTCAGCGGCTCTTCTTCATTGTCTTGCTTGCTTGGTTTCGTGCGGGGTAGTCTTATCACCATTATTCTACTCATGCTCCTTGCATCACTACTCACTAAGTACATGCTTGTGAATCATACGGGTAGTTCTCTACGTTAGGTCCCTTCTACGTTTTTTTTTCAAAGGGTGCCGTACTATTTTTGGGAGAGAAAAAGGACCTTGATTTAGGGAACTACCCTTATTCTTTCTGCTACGCTCTTCTCGTGGTCGTGAGCCGGTCTGAGGGAGAGCTTGGCTCCTAAAACGCCAAACCCTAAACCCGAAAAAGGTTTAGGGTGTAGGGTACCTTCCCGTTGTCGTTTGGCGGAGTTTCTCTGGAGAGAACTGACGAGCTTGTTCGCCTTGCCCCTGACGCCTGACACCTAAGAGAATTCGGTGACCCCTCTACGCAAAGCTCTGAGGGTGGTCGTGGTGGGTTGTCCGCAAGTTAATGTGGCAAAACGACTAGAGCGGTAGTGCTCCCTGACGGTTCCATCACGCAAACCTTGGAATACAGACTCCCAAGTATCCCTGCAAGGCATCGCCATCTTGCGCTATGGACCTTGGAGTCCTAAGCCCCTAGGCCCCTAAGCCCTGGTCTGGCCCGAGGCGTCGACTTGTCCCAGCTCTTCGGTGGCGAATGGCCGGCAGGCCGAGTCAAAACGCGCAAAAATTGACACATGCACTGTAGCCCTTTAACAGCAATCAGAACAGAGACTTTGAATAGTGAGGATAGTAGTTTGCAGCGGCAAGAATGCTTGTAGCAAGAGCACTGTGGATCAGGAATTTTGTCGTGGCACAGTTTGTTCAGTAGTACAGGTTGAGATAACAGATACTGTACTGGCTGAACCTGCTGAGTCGGTATAGATTACGAATTATTCAGACTTCTATATGATGTATTGTGGTAAGCCGTGGGTCGCCGTGGGTCTTTAGAATTCAACTAAAGGAGGCACTTTTTCAATTTCGGATCTGCACTGATCTGCACTGCGCCTTACAGCCAAATGTGGATTTCTCTTAAGTCACCTTATCAATTAGGGTAGCGATGGTCCTGTTATTTGGAGGGTATGCTCGGATCCCTCATCATGCAGACGGGGAGGCTTACAACTCGGATGTTGAACGGAAGCTATATTGGCGCCTGAAGAAACAGCACATGTAGAAGTAGTACCCCGCATGATCACTGCTTAGTTGACCCAAAACTCTTTCCGATTGTTGGCAAGGCCCCTGATGTTGTTTTCGGAAGCGCTCAACTGTGGAACCCGAACCGCCCTGCCAAAAGATTGCAGGTCCACATAATCCCAAATCCCTTAAATCAATTGCCCCTGACCCAAAAATACAGCCTAACCCGCCTAGATCTTAGGTAACCCGGTAAAGTAAACCCATGGGCCCGAAAACCCCAGAGCCTAAAGTCCTTAGACCACCAAACTCATTGCACGCCAAAAACCTTAAGCTTTCTTCGCGTCGCTGCGAAACGGTTCGGAGATCCTGTGCAAGAAAAGAGGCCGGCTCAAAAGTAGGGCGGTGCAGCCTGGAAAGCGGTGACTTTCATCCCCAGGCATGCAAAAGCTGACTCCTGAAAATTACCGAACGCCTGGAACACCCTTCAACCCTCAATCCCAAGCGCACCAACTCGGGGCCTTTCTAGAGCTCGATCAGGCAAGCCCCTAGATGAACTGTACCTCGAGCGGCTGCATCCGAGCCTGCGGGCGATGTTCGCGCGCCACCGAGTTTTGGGTAAGGTGTGGTTCACGTTTTTTGGGTTTTTGTGGCTTAGGGTGGGTTTACTAGGAATCAGGGTTACGGGGTTTGGGTCCAGGAGTTCGGGAAGTTTGGAGGCTGATGCAGCTGCATGTGCTTGGATCTTGGAGCCTCAGAGAAGCAGGGGCCTAATGCTAATGTTGAGCCCGAAACTGGGAACTGGGAACCTTCTTTGGGGTCTCTCATGGCACGGATCTTGTTGTTTAGGTTTCCCCCCGCCAAAAAAAATAGGATTCTGACGAGAAGGGACTCTATACTAACCTAGTAAATGAAGTATCTCCAGTTTTGAGAAAGCTCCATCTTGGGTGAGAGGAGAAGCAAAGAACAAATTTGAGGGGTGTTTATCAGGATTGTGTAAGTTATGACAGTGTAGGAGTTTGAGAGGTCGGTGAGAGTGATTGCGAGATCCCCCCGATCCGGAATTTCCTAGCAACCTCGACTGTATTCATGTCCCACCCGCTCCTTGAGGTGTCCTCGCCGACGCTGAAGGCGATGTGGCAGCACGAGGCTCGCTCGACGTCAGCGCGTGTGAGAAAGGTAGAGAGTGGCATGATCGCAAAGGCCAACCGCCAAGTGTCACACCTGACGTGGAAAGTCAAAAGGTCCAAAGTCAAGATGTGCATGACGAGAAAGCAACAGCACTGGAGGGCTCTGCTTGGTTGCCGTGGTTGAGTTCTGTCTTGCTTCGAGAAGATCTGAAGTATCGCATTCTAGCAGTCGCCTTATTTTACCCCAAACCGTGAAGGCTAGGATGCATGTGTCTCAGTACATTCACTGCGAGGTGAAAGCAGCCCTCGATGGTATGTGGGGCACTCAGGCGACCTCCACTGCTGGGCGATGAACTACCGTTGACTTGACTTGACTTGACTTGACTTGACTTGACTTGAGGATTTAAATTACCACAAAAGGGATCTATAATAATATGGTTTCCTTATTATGGTAGCTTGAATTAAACCCCCGAACAAGAACCCAGTTGAGAATTTGAGGCGTTTTGAGGATACAGGAAGTGACGGTGGTGGCTCATTGTGGGAGCGCACTGGAAGGTTTCTTCTCGAAGTTTGGGATTTCGCTGTTCAAGGGTGTCTCCCCAGTCGTGCTTTTCAAGGCTTAGGTTGAGCAAACTCTTGAACCCTAAGCACCAGAATTCCTCAGATCCTCAACCCTGCACCCCGAAACTCCCAAAGCTTGCCCTAAATTCCAGGAGACTTAACCCTGAAAGGATTGTAGGACTTCGCAGCTGTGGGCTGCTCAGGACCACAGATGATGTCTCCAAGCTCGATCCGTGGCTTGGCCTTTGTGCAACCTTGTGGCTTAGATCTTGCTGTATGGGTTTTAAGGATTTAGGGTTTGGAGTTTTACCTAGCAACTTAGGGTTTGGGAATGGGTGTGTGTGGGGTTAGTGTTGGCTGCTTCGGAGTAGGATCTGACAAACAAGCTTTCCGGATAAGCCCTCATTAAGCTGGCTTAATTCGCCATAAGACCTGATTAGCCCTAAGCGTTGAACTTATTAGTGAAGGGTTGTGCGCCGACTCCTCGGCAATCGACGCCACGACGGCTATAAGAACAACAACAACAACAACTACTACTACTACTACTACTACTAGTACTACTACTACTACTACTACTACTACTACTACCACCAGTACTACTACTACTACTACTACTACTACTACTACTACTGCTACTGCTGCTAACGGCTGCGGCTACGGCTACGGCTGCGGTTACGGCTACGGCTGCGGCTACGGCTACGGCTACGGCTACGGATACTGCTGCTACTACTGCAACTACTGCTATGGCTGCTACCCCTGCTACTGCTGCTCGTTTTATTGTTGTGTTCATGTTTGTATAAATGCGTAAACGCGCTCACGCACACATATAGATGCCATGATATATGCACACGCACAGCGCATGCGAACCCACATCCCGCACCCACACGAACAAGCACGCACGCCACTGGCTTCTCTTAGACTGACATCAGCTAGTCAACCCATTTTAGTTGAATCTGCGTCGCAGGAGCCTACATCCCCCCATTCCAGTGCTGGACCTCCCTGTTTAAATAGGGATCTAAGCTCGGCTTGCAGTAGGGACGGGGATATGCTGGGTTAGGAAGCCTAACTTCAAATCAGAGTCTGGACCAGATTCCCACATTCTGAGAAACGTCCCGAGAGCAGGCAATCCAGAGCCTCGACAAAGGTCTGAATAGCTGTTCTCGGGGCAATCCCCCTCTGCTGACGGGATTGCAGAAGAAACAAACAAACAAACACACACACACACACACACACACACCCACACCAACACCTACACCCACACAGACAAGACCCGAGCAACCCTGGTCTCCTGGTGCTTTCCGGCAGCTCCTGATTACTTTTGTGAGAGCCGAGGAACCAGCTTAAGCAGCTCATGGAAGCGGAGTTTCTCGTCTGAGCTGAGGAAGGGGTAGAAAAATTTCGAGGCTAAGGGTTCATAGGGTTTAGAGTCTTAGGATAAGGATGTAGGGCCATTTAGGGTTTAGGTTTCGTTTGGAGCTGTAGGGGCTCTGCAAGCTTCGTGTTCGAAAGTTGAGGGTTTGTGCTTTCATTGATTCAGGGAGGGCTCAAGGTTGCTGTATGTGTTTCAAAAGTTTCTAGGGTCTAGAGATCAGCCTTGGAGGAAATTCAGGGGCTGTGGTTCAGGGGCGTAGGGCTTCTAGGGGCTTGTGCGGCAGTGCCCAGGGCATTGGAGGGACAAGGGTTCCAGGGCACCAAGGCTTCTACGGCGTGTGCACAAAGGCAAAGAAGCGCAATGAAATGCAGAGTTCGGAATTGTTGGTAGTTGGTAGCAGAACTTAGTAAGGTTTGGTAGGACCGGGCAGTCCTGATCTAGTCTTGTTGCAGGCAGAGACCCTCGTTTCAACCCAAGCCGCAAACCGCGATCCCTAAACTCCCAAACCTTGAATCTTCTGGACTTCCGAGGGTTCATGCGAAAGCTTACCCTTAGATTCAGATTGGATCTTGACCTTCCCCTGCTTGGTGGAGTGAGCCCGAGCCCCCAGACTGGCCCAAACCCCAGGAAGGAGGTGGACGCACGCATCGGCGAGGTGAACAAGATAGTTGAGGCTTGCTGAACATCAAGCAGCCATCCCGCGAAGTGATGCATCTCCTGCACCATAGCACCCCAATGCCTCAATTAAGCCCCAAGTTGGCAACCCCAATGCACTAATCCCTAGAAACAGAAACATACATACAGCCTTTTGGACGCCAGAGCCAAGCCCTAACCCGCAAAGTCTCAAATTGCCAAACCCAATATTTTGGGTCTGGGACGCAGTCTCGGCTCAGTCCAAATGGGGGTGGCTTAATCGTCGGTGTGGGGGTCTGTCACGAGTAAGAGCTTCGCGTACCAAGGGAATTTTCGGGGTTGAGGTTTGGTAGGCGGGTTTAGGTTCAGTTTCGAGATGTTTTGGGGTTTACGGCGAGCCTGGGATTGCCCGCTTTGTCTAGTGCCGAGTGAAACTGCATTAGACATCATTCTCTTGTCTCTGCATGCTCCTTGGAAAGATATTGTTTTATCAGCAATCGAAGAGCAGCCTATTTTCCCATCAGGAGGGCTGCAGAGAATGAGGCTTGCGTCTGATTCATGTCCGAGTACACCTTGAGCCCTGAGCCCTGGCCAAAGATCTTTCAGCTCGAAAGCCTCAGCCCTAAGTCCAGAAAGCCTCGACCAGAGACAGGACCACGGTGAAGCGGTCGAACACCTCAAAAACCTCTTTGCGGGTAACGCGATGGAGAGCGGGCTGGGTGTGGGCAGCACCACGACTACAGAAGAGCAGTTTTGGGATCTGAGGATTTGCAAGTCTCCCCGGATCAGTCTTGGGTCTTTGGAAGAAGGATCCTGCTGTTAGAGGGTTTTATGTTAGGGTCTGGAAGTGTGCTAATGCTGCCCAACGTGCCACGATGGCACGCAGCCTGGAAGCAAACAAAGTACTTCTTTCGGCGAAAGGATCTGGAAGCACAGAGTTTCGCTGGCCCACGTCCTCCTTCATACCGGGTGAAAGGTTCTGTGTTAGGAGCCCTGGTTTTCTGAAACTACCGTGTCGGAATACTCCGGGAAGACTTGTATTCATTGTGCTGTCCGTGAGTTTTGGGACGTGGGCGTGCTACCCGTAAACCATCCTAAACCCTAAAGCCCTCATTGAAGCCCTCCAGCCCCAAACCCCAAAACCACCCTAGGGCCAGGGTCATCAACCCTCCAGCCTCATGCACAAGTCCAGCATTCCACATCTCGCACACTAGAAGCATAACCCAAAGCCGGCCTCAAGCCCCGATCCCGCAAAAACAAGAAGCAGGGACGCCCCTACCCATAACCTTCCAGAGTTCAGATACTTCTTTCAGACTCGTAAAGAGCCCACACCCCCGCCCCCCCCATTTCATCCAGGTGTCTTCCTGGGCGCTTGAGTGCCAGGTGAAGCCGCCAGGCCTGTGAGTTCAGAGTTTCGGAGCTTCGGCTCTTTACTGAGATCCCAGCGAATCAGCCACGAATTTTTTTGCCTTAACACCCAAAGTCCGGAGACCCACACCCCAACACCCTCAACCGGTAAACGCTGGAATAGAAAACTGAGGGTTCAGGGGGAAAGCTTTTTATGTCCTGGGAAAAATGAACTTGCGGGTCATGATGCTTCGGGGGTCTTGGTGGGCTTTTTGGCTCAGGCTTGTTCGCTCTCGCTGAGTGTGGCATCGGTTTTCCGTTTTCTCGCTGGTGACCTGGTAACCTGCACCATGAAGCCGGAAGCCCCCAAGCCCTAAATTTTCGCGCTCTAAGCCCCCAAGCAGCCCCTAGGCAGCCCCTAAGCCTTATAAGCCCTAAGCCCCAAAGCCGGTAAGAGCCCAGCGAGCCCCAGAGGCGAGCAGCCCGGCGTTGCGGGCAACGCTTCCTGTGACGCCTCTGCTCGGGGAAAAACAGCTCCGGCGGCTTCAGGGGGTTCAGGGGCTTTGGTTCAGGGTTTATACGGCTGAAGGTTTAAGTTTAGGGTTTCGGCACTAAAGGATTTGGATGATTTGGGGCTGTTTCGATTCCAGGTTATTGCTTCGAGCAGGAGCTTGATCCGACAGTGACGGATTCGGAGGACATGTGGAGGCTGATGTACGGGCAGACTTTGACCGGGCCTCCATGATCTACAAATTCCTGAACCATCACAGTTCGGCCTGAAGTAGACGAGAGGTCTTCACTTTACAGTACTTGGTAGGCCAACCAGTGCCATGGGGTGTCAGACTTGCTTAGCGCCCCCACGGTTGATGATCGTGGAAGATGGCCCTTGTCAAGAGAAGACGAAGTCCAAGCATCAGAGGCCACCAAGCCGATCAATCAGCAGGCCGACTGGCAGGTGGGGTGCCCATGCTTGCTGGGTCCGGGTGCAATTCGACACTGTAGCGTGTATTTTGACATGCCTGTTTCGGTGTCAGATGCGTAACTTCGCAACAAGATCAACAAGCCAAGCAACCTGCCATCCAATCGGAAGCTCTGAGCTGTGACGTCGAAGTTGCAGCTTCGGAATACTGAATTTCTAACTCCCCAGCTTTGAGGCTTGGACCGAAAGCCAACGCATCCTCAGCAGTGCCCTTAATCCAGAATCCATAATCAACAAAAGCAGCTTGACCACTGGCACCACGACTGCATAGAAGACAATGAGGACTGCTCCTGTCCTGCAGGGCTGAAACATCAATTCATTGTCGATTTGATAGTAGAAGGGTGCAGAAAGCATGAGCAGTGGCTCAAAGACTGTACTGCCGACCAGAACTGCACCCTAAACGTAAATCCTGCACCCCAAGTTCCAAAGCCCTGCAAGGCCTTAACTAGCATGCCTTAGCGCAATGCCGGATGTGTCGAAGGCCTTGCGTCGGAGGGAGGCCGCGTGCGTTGAGGAGGCCGGAACCCGTTGCTATCATTTTCTCCTGAAATTGAGTTTCGGGTTCAGGGTGCGCAGTTGTGGTTTCTACAATAGGATTTAGGATTCACGGGTTTAGCTCGAGGGGTTGGGGTTTCAGGGTTCTTGGCATCGTTTGAGACGGTAAAGCACTGTTCCGTGGGGCTCGGGCTACAGAGACCTCTTCGACCATGTCCTTGGTCTGATTCTCCACACTTTTGAGCCCTCAAAAAACCATTCGAGTGTTTAGGGATGCAGCCCATATTTATGTCACAGAACCCCTCGAACCCTACAGAACCATCCTTCCCTTGGATGAAGAAGCAACGCACCAAGGCTCCACCTACAAACCACACAGATTCACAACCCAATTTTGACTAGATCCGATACCCTAAACCCCTAACTGCCTAAAACCCTACTCCCTAAAGCCCTGCAGCCCCAGACCCCATTAAGACATCGATCCTGCAGCTTCTGATTCTGGAGCAAATTTTGCGATCCTTCCCCCGCTTTTTCTACACCATGGCCGAGCCTGCTCAGAAGAAAGCCCGACGCCTGCCTTTTTAGGGCTTCAGGGCCTTAGGGCTTTAGACTTTAGAGTTTGGGGCTTGGGGTTTGATGGTCCATACGACACCCGCCTTTGGACTTTATGGCGTCTCCTAGTCTCCGTTTGTATCTATCACAGGGCTTGCGGTTTGGGTCTATTGGACACGTTCCTACTTTGTGACTTTCGCTGTTGGACTGTGGGTCCCATTGTGGATTTCGGACCTATGTGGGTGTGGTTTGGCTTCGAACTTAGACTTGTCGGGTTTGTGGCTTTGGATTTTTGGATCTGGGTCAGGGTTTGGGGCTCAGGTCTTCAGAGTCAGGGCGAGGTAGGGTCTTGGATGGGTGTACGGGTTGAGAGGGCATAGAGTGTCTGTTGTGGACTCGGCAAACCTCAAATCTCAATTCCTTGCCGCGTACATGTGTCTAGCATGTTGAGATCACAGGTTGAGGAACTCAATGTTTTGAACGGGAGTCGACTTGTTTCTGCCTCCCTTATTCCTTTCTGGTTGCCATGAACTGCATATTCTACTCCAGGCTGCTAGGACTGTCAGTTGGACCTGACAATGCTCTTCTACAGCCTCAGGGTTTCCTCTGAGCTGGTGGAAGCCGAGGAACCACCCGCACCTTCTTGTTCTCTTCGGAGTCTGTGCGCCTTGGTGTGGTTGAGATTCGGACGCGGTTGCAATCAAGGCTCGTTCTTTGCCAGGCGGTGGCGTGCTACATGTTGGGTTTCAACACTATTGAGGCTTAGGGAGTTGGAGGCTAGAGTGTGGGAGATTCACTGCCTTCCAGGAACGAGGGCCACCCGGACAAGATCTGCGATCAGGTCTCCGATGCAGCACCCCGGTCAATGATGATTCGTGTATGTAATGCTGTCCCTGCAGCAGCAACAGCAGCAACGGCATGCCTGCAATGCGAGCAGTTACTAGAGGTGCGAGTTCTCGCAGTGCTTTGCTACTTCTCTCGTCTTCCTAGTGACTAGTAGTATGGCTGTCATTGTCACTGTCATTGTTTCTCACTATTTTAGTCGTCCGCGAGGTCGTTTTTGGGTGTGATTGGCAGTGGTTAATCGCCGGGGGCTCCCGCTACTGTAGCCTCTGAAAGGACATTGCTCGGTCAGCGGTCAGCCGTTGAACGTACGTATGCAGCTGGATGGATTTTCTGCACAGCTTCGCAACCCTGTCCGCCAATCTGCAAAACCTTACAGTAAAACCTTAAATTCCAGCCCTTAAACCTTGAAAACACAATGTACAACTCGCAGTTCAACATAGACATACATAGACCGTAGATGCCGGCTGTCGTCTTTGACTCCAGGTCCTGGATGCGTGCCTGAAGGTGGATCCCAAGAGCAAGGTGGCCTGCGAGACTGCCACCAAGGACTCGGAGAGACAAAGACTCGCGCCTCTTTGTTGTTCCTTTACTGTGATGCACTCACAGTTCTTCGTAGTATTCCTATTACGGGCTGAAGAGGACGGGTACATTGCTGCACAGTACCACTTCCGACGACCGCGACGAAGAGAAAAGAGTAATAACAGTATGATGATGATGATGATGATGATGGTGCAGACTTCAGGTGACCACGTGACGACGACAATGATAAAGGTTTTCTGCCCACAGCGAAAGCACGCAAAGGACTGCAACTCGAACACCTCAAGCTTCAATAACCCTAGGCATCAGAACCTTGCTGCAACCTAGTAGCTCCAAGTCCTCCCTGTTGTAGCGTGAGGTTATCAGACTTATCAAGACGCCTCTTCATTCCGGGAGGTTTGGCCCGAGGGTTTCGAAGTAACAGGTGCCGGGTTGGAAGCAGCATTGCCTTTGCTGTCATTCGTATGTCGGTGTATTTGCTAACAGTGTTTGTTCTGATTCCTTCACCTTGTATACCCCAGTGCTTTTTCTGATGTACGACTGTACGAGTTTGCAGATGACGACGGGGTCGTGGGATGCAGGGGCTGTGTTAGGACAACATGGTAATGGTCGCCGGTGAGATCACTACCGGTGCAGCCTTGGACTACGACAAGGCAGGGCTTCATAAAGCGGTTTCAGCATACGCCATAAATTCCCTCAGCTGAATGCATGATTCTGTCCATCTCGGCAATGTGCAACTGAGACCCTGAGCTCCACATCTTGCACCCCAAGATGACTCAAAGTCCTGGGAATCCACGTCTCCGAAGGGCCCGGAGCTACAGCGGCCTTTGCTTTGGGCCTTCAGGGAGCCCTTCATCCAAAGATGGCAACGACAACAAGCCCCAAACCCTGAACCCCTAATCCTGACGGAGCGGGGAATTGACAGGTTGTGCGAGGCGTCGTGGAGCAGATTGGCTTCGACAGCTTCGTCGATGA